GGAAAAGCCTCAGAGTCATACAAATTGATAACTTTTTAAAAATTCTCCCTTGTGGATTTTAGAATCAACTCCTTGTTTTCTTTTCTCCCTTACCAAATCACCAGTATCTTCCTATCCAAAAGCCGTGTTGGTCCTGAACCTAGTCTAATAATCTCCTGCTTTTAGATAATGAATGTTTTAATCAGTCTGTCGGCACTATTGAGTGAGTCCTAGTGTGTACAGACAGCAGTAAACATGGTAGGACAAAAAGCAATGAAGGAAGCCGAGGAAGCAACCTGCATCCCCCAAACTGAAGTGGATACTTGTTGCGGAAGCTGCCTGTCTCACAAGAACTGCCCTTTCTTTTTCTTTTCTTTTTTTTTTTTGAGACGGAGTTTCGCTGTTGTTACCCAGGCTGGAGTGCAATGGCGCGATCTTGGCTCACCGCAACCTCCGCCTCCTGGGTTCAGGCAATTCTCCAGCCTCAGCCTCCTGAGTAGCTGGGATTACAGGCACGCACCACCATGCCCAGCTAATTTTTTGTATTTTTAGTAGAGACGGGGTTTCACCATGTTGACCAGGATGGTCTCGATCTCTTGACCTCATGATCCACCCACCTCGGCCTCCCAAAGTGCTGGGATTACAGGCGTGAGCCACCGCGCCCGGCCAGAACTGCCCTTTCTCTTGGTACAATCACTGATACATAGTCTGCACCCCTACCTCCACCCCTGGCAGACCTTTTCTCTACCGCATGACCTGCTTTGGCCATAGTCAGACACCAGTTCTAAACTGCGCCAACTTCAAATTCTATCCTGGGAAACACTGAACCTGATTTTCATTGAGGCTGATTCACATTACTAGCAGGGATCCAGGCAGAAGGGTCACAAATTCCCACTACTAAGGCCTTTAGCATGGCCCTAGTTTCTGTCCTTCCCACAGTTTAGTTGCTTATTCAATAATTTGCCCTCTACAGGTGCCCTAGTATTTCTTTTTTCAGAGATAGCCTCTCACTCTGTCACCCAGGGTGGAGTGCAATGGCACAATCACAGCTCAGTATAACCTCAGACTCCTGGGTTCAAGTGATGCTACTGCCTCAGTCTCCCAAGTAGCATGTAACTGCAGGTGCACACCACCATGCTTGGATAATTTTATTTAGTTCTTATTTTGTAGAGACAGGGTCTTGCTATGTTACCCAGCTGGTCTCAAACTCCTGGCCTCAAGTGATTTTCCTGCCTTGGCATCGCGAAGTGCTGGGATTACAGGTGTAAGCCATTGTGCCTAGCCTATATTTTTTCAATAAATGTCCTCCCCCCATTATTTTTTGCCAAAACCAACTATAGTCAGTGTCTGATGTTTTCAAATAAGAGGAAAATTAAATAATTTAGGAATTGTTTCTGGAGAGTATGCTGTGACTCTAGACCTTCAAGAAAAATGTAATGGGTCATTTTATTGTAATGGGGTGGAAGTGAAGGAGGGCTCTACCCTGTATTTGAAGATGTGAAATTAGCAATGCTTGCTAAAAAGTAGCAAAACAGCAATAAATGAATTGCTTGTAGTCAACTAGGAACTGGAAAAAAGGTTTTGGAGGACCCAGTAGCTGGCACCATAAGCAATTTGAAAGAAATGAGAAAAGTTGAGACCACAGGTTAGAAGGCTCTTTTGAGTGCATGAGGAAAACCTAATGTAAGAGAACAGCAAACTTAGTTCTATAATCTCTCTTCTATAAAATCAAAGTCAAGATTGTAATACAATCCCACTAGCTACTAGCCTGAAATCACAAAAACCAAGTTCAGAAATTTATGTTTCAAGCTATTGAATTATACCTTCACTTGCATGTATAAAGTAGCTTTCATATGGAGATACAGCATGATTAGGAAAAAGTAAAATCCTAGTGATGGAAATGGAGATATATGGGAGGAGTCAGAGGAACTGGGAAACCGAGGCCTTCAAGCTTCTCTGAAATATTCCTGCATTGCACCTCCATTCCCGCCGACCAGAAGAAACTAATAGTATGTCCCACTGGGCTCTACTGTTCAGCCATGCCCATGCCCACTGTATGGCCCGCATTTGAACTCTTCGTGGACTGGATGAGGTTATGCAGAGTCAGTGCAGAGAAGAAAGAAGTTATACACAGAGATCAGCTAAGGAATATCATTAAGACTGTGGATATTGTGTTGGCATAGATTTTGAGGATAGGCTGCGTTATTAGTGGTTTCACTTACGAAGTAATCCATAACCTGATGATTATCAGATGGGATCTCAGTATAACTAAAAAAAGGAATGAAGATTACCCAGCTGTCCAGATTTACAAAATGATGGCTGTGTGGTGTAAACTTGGATTAAGTAATTGGTGTGATTTCGCATTATAGTTCATTGAATGTGTGGTTGTCAGGTCATGTTGAACGGGAGCATCTTGGGACATATGGGATGAAGTGTATAGTGTGTGTGTGTGTGTGTGTGTGTGTGTGTGTGTGTGTGTGTGTGTGTTTACTGGTAAGCAGCTAAAAAGGAAAATGTAATAGTCACCACATGGAGGTGGTGCCTGATGCCTGATGCCCTCTTCAGTACAGCCCCTGAAACTCAGAATGGGCCCATAAAGCCTTTGCCTATTTTATGTGACATCCTGACACCTCCCACCCTCTGTTCCCACCACCGCAATAGCTGGATGCAGTGGTGTACCAAAGGCTGGGCAAGGGAAGCAATCTGCCTGGGGGAAGGCAATAAGGAAGTCTGTAGAGAATTTAAAAACAATAATAAAGTCAACCGAAGTCAGTCTGCTTTCTATTATCACCATGTGCCGGCAATTCCAAACAATGTCAGTGATAAAGTACTCCTTCCTGAAAAAATCCTTTTGGGAATCTAAGTTCTAAACCACTGTTTTGCTACCAATGAGTTTTAATACTATGCATGTAAGCTTCAAATTAGCACTTTTTAAAATTATTTATCCTTTGTAGCTTGCATTCTACTTAGAAGTTAATTCAAACTCCCAGGTACACAGTCACGCCTCAATGCACACGGACTCAGCCACGCATGTTTGCTTTGAGTAGGTTCCTGACAGTTTGAAAATCATTCGAGCTCACTTCATGTGCCCAACCCCATGGTGCCACATACTCCTGTATCTAAACAGTAGATTCAAAATAAGCAGCAATATCACGGTGATTACAGAAGTGGAGAGACAGAATTTGAGTTACTTTAGTTCCATCATTCTGTGAATGCCAGGAGAAAGGACAAAAGATGCTGGTCCTATGCTGCCGGCAAAAATCAAAAGAGCAACATATAAACATGTTGATCCTTTGGGAGGCCGAGGCGGGTGGATCACGAGGTCAACAGATCGAGACCATCCTGGTCAACATGGTGAAACCCCGTCTCTACTAAAAATACAAAAAATTAGCTGGGCATGGTGGCACGTGCCTGTAATCCCAGCTACTCAGGAGGCTGAGGCAGAAGAATTGCCTGAACCCAGGAGGCGGAGGCTGCGGTGAGCCGAGATCGTGCCATTGCACTCCAGCCTGGGTAACAAGAGCGAAACTCCGTCTCAAAAAAAAAAAAAAAAAATGTTGATCATTATCACCAAGAACTGGACATCTGATCTAAAGCAATGGGTAGAACAACATTAGTGTTTGCTAATGTTCCGTCATGGATGCTGACATTTTTATTGAAACATAACTGTACATCTTTACTGGGTACATGTGATATATTGACACATGCATACAAGGTGTAATGATCAAATCAGGGTATTTAAGATACCCATGACCTCAAAAACGTATCCTTTCTTTATGTTGGAACTATTTCGCATCTTTTCTTCTAGCTATTTAAAAATATACAATAAATTATCATGACCTATAGTCACCCTACAGGGCTATTGAACACTAGGACTTATTCCTTTATCTAACTATATGTTTGTACTCATTAACCAGCCTCTCTTCACTCCGCTTGAACATCCCTTCCCAACTTCTGGCAACCGTCATTCCACCCTCTACCTCCATGAGATCAACTTTTTTAGCTTCCACAGATGAGTGGGAACATGAAATATTTGTCTTTCTGTGCCTGGCTTATTTCAGTTAGTATGTTCACCTCCAGTTCCATTCATATGGCTGCAGATGACAGGATTTCATTCCTTTTTATGACTGAACAGCATTTCATTGTGTATCTACACCACATTTTCTTTTTTTTTTTGAGACGGAGTTTCACTCTTGTTACCCAGGCTGGAGTGCAATGGCGCGATCTCGGCTCACCGCAACCTCTGCCTCCTGGGCCCAGGCAATTCTCCTGCCTCAGCCTCCTGAGTAGCTGGGATTACAGGCACGCGCCACCATGCCCAGCTAATTTTTTGTATTTTTAGTAGAGACGGGGTTTCACCATGTTGACCAGGATGGTCTCGATCTCTTGACCTCGTGATCCACCCGCCTCAGCCTCCCAAAGTGCTGGGATTACAGGCTTGAGCCACCACGCCCGGCCCACATTTTCTTAACCCATCTATTCATCAATGAATGCTTAGGTTGATTCCCAAATGGTGCACATGGGGTGCTGGTATCCTTTTGATATACTTACTTTTGGATTTGCCTTCATTTGGATACATACCCAGTAGTGGGAATGCTGGATTGTATGGTAGTACTATTTTTAGTTTTTTGAGAAAACTCTATACTGTTTTCCATAGTGACTATACTAACTTACACTTCTACCCACAGTGTATGAGAGTTCCCTTTTCTCTGCTTCCTCATCTGTATTTGTTACTTTTTGTCTTTTTTTTTAATAATAGCCATTCTAACTGAGGTGAGATGGTTTCTCATTATGGTTTTGATTTGGATTTCCCTGATGATTAGTGAGGTTGAACATTTTTTCAAATACCTGTTGACCATTTGTATGTCTTCCTTTGGGAAATGTCTGCTCGGGTCTTTTGCCCATTTTTAATGGGATTATTTGGTTGGGGGAGAGGTTGCTGTTAAGTTGTTTGTAACTCTGATTTTTGTAGAAAAAAATTTTGAAACTTTTAACTAAAAATAATAAACACATATGATGACTGCACTTGTGTTTTTGTTTAGCTTGTGGACAAAGACTTACAGATCGGTGCAAAAAATAAATCCTCTTTTGCAGCCCAGAATTCATTGTTCAGTATGAGTTTTGATACATACTAGAACGGATATTATGATTTAATGATCATTATGATATTATCACATAAAATGATGAATTTTCTACTTTTCTTAAGAAATGTATTAATTATGTCAGCATTTGAAAGCTACCAGACTCACTTCCTAAGACATGAAAATATGGATGGCATTGTAATTTCTCGAAATTCTTGTGAAATGAGATTTTTGTGATTCTCTGCCAAACCTATCCTTATGTTTAAAACTTTTTCTATTTGTATGGTATTTCATATGAAATAATTTTTTTAATTAATAAAAAGTACGAGCAAAGACAGAGTGGTACACCTTGTTGTATTGACTATTGAGTATAAACATGCAAAGACTAATTTTTACCAGGGACATCAGCAAAGGGGAGCAAAGATGAATTCTGATGAAGTTATTTAAACGTCTGCTATAGTTACATCCTGAAAATGAAAACTGTGGTATATTGTTATCATTCACTACTGGGACAGACCAATATGCAAGTCTAAGTTTATTTTTCTTTTTCCCAAAAAAGTAATAAAAGTATTATTTCATTGCTTTTCCCTTCATTGCACTGTAACATGTATTTTGTATCTTATTATTTATACATTATTAACATGACTGTATATCACAGTCTAATACATGTTTTCACTGTTTGCATTTCTTTCCTGGCATCATCTTCGTTCATATTATCTGTATTTCATGATTATTATTGAAAATAACTTTGTTGGTGGCATGTTACAAAATGATTCACTCCAGGTATTAATATGCCAGACATCTCACTAGTTGTCTGATCCAGGGTACATGATTGATCAAACTGAGGCCCCTCCTCTCCCTCCCCGGGAAGGTGGAGCATAGCTCTGAGCATCCGGGGGCCTGACTCAATGTGAGCTGAGTCGTGTGATCAGCAGCACCATGGAGGCCCTAGAGCTGCCCTGCTCTGACCTTCCCACAACCTCCTTGGGTTGTGAGATACCCCAGAATCATTCCAGTGAACCTCTCTTCTGCCCCTTTTGCCTTTAGAACCAGGATACAGTTCTACCACTCAAAGAGCTATTTTTCCACAAAGAAGGACCTACTGGTAGAGGAGGAAGAGTGGCATGGGAAGGGTACAGCAGGGAAAGAACTCTGCCAGCCAAAGCGTCTGAAGTGCGAGCACCCATCCACGCTCCACTGCTCACTCTGCCAGGAAGACCCACAGAGACACCTGCCACCATGGAGTGGGGTGTGCGAGTGGGACACAGGGAAGGACAGGAGTAGAAAGACGCCTGAAGGGGAGGCTGCCTGTGCACCGGGAGCCCCACACCTCCCTCCCCACCGGGGAAGCCTCCTAGCCAGGCTCTTTTTTCCAGCCATCTAAAGATGTGGGTTGTGCCCTGCTGAAGAAGTGACATCAGCCCCTAGGTGGCTACTAACACTCGCAAAACATCTGATGTCCAGGTTAGATATAAGCTGTGGACATCCATAGAACGGTCTACCCGGCCTGCTTTCAGCCCCACAAGTAAGGCAAGAGTGTCCTGATTCTTGCATGTCCCCACTCCACTGACTTCAGCTAACTAATCCAGGGATGGTCTCTGACTCATGCTGAATCAATGAACTTCTTCCCCAGGAATTTTTAACTGGGCCTCGAAAAAATCAAGGTCAGACTCCCTCTCATAGGGGAAGCTATGGCCAGTCATGTTACCACTAAGCTGGATTGCAGTCACGAAGAGACAGGCAGAGATAAACAGAACAAAATAATAGGTGGCGTTTGAGTCTCTTGTTCTAGCCACATCCTCCAGCCATGGTTGTTCTACACGTCTTAGGATTCTTAGAAGAATAAATTCCTTGTTTTGCTTACTGAGGTGCGGTCCTGGTATTTGCGATCGAAGTTACACAGATTGTGTGAACCTTAAATGTGCTGGGCTACTTTTTGAAAACAAGAACAAAATTGAGAGATCAGAAAACATGAGCAGTCACCACACCGATCCACCTGCCAGCTGTGACTTGTGATTGTCATACCTGGCAGTTGCATACTTGAGACTGTGCTGTGTCTGGTTTCACTGTGCTGCCTGCACTTGGGGGACCAACCAGCTGTGGGCAGGAAGCACCTCCAGGAGAGCTGGGGCGGCTGTGCCCATCTGCAGCTTCCATGACAGTTTCATCCTCAGGATGGGGTCTAGCTGCCTCGCCCTGCTTATCTAAAGACCCCAAATACCCCACTGTTGCTTCCTGCTGGATTTCTTCTCTCCATGGTTTACCCCCCAGGGCTTACCTCTCACGGGGAGGAAACCCTCCTCTCTATCATGATTTAGTGGGAAAGAGATGATCAGCCTTCAGGGAGCTGTCTCGTGGGGTCCAGAGGAGACAAAGAAAGGAACCGATATTTCCCTGAACCTGTGATGTGCCTGGCACTCCTATGTGGGCCATCCCATGTAATCCTGATCATAACCATGTGAGTCAGGTGTTGTTATCCTCATTTTACTTGGGAACTCAACCAGAGTGTTATTCCTCTCGTGTCTGCAAATAGCACACGTCCTTGGCAGCCACCGTGCTCTTCCCCACCCATTTTTCAGCCTTGTTTTCCACACAAGCAGCAGCACAGTTAGAAAGCCAGCTACTGCTGACTCCTGAATGTTACATGCCAGGGGAAGTCTCTATTTTCATACCAAACCTGGTTTCCTGGTGGGCACACAAATTGTTGCCTGCTAAAATAGCAACTCTGGCAAAAATGTATCCAGTCTGCTTAGATATGCATCAAATTAGGAGCTGGCCTTGCAGTTAAACCAACTGACTGCTTCTAATGACCTGGAAACAAAACTCCCTTTAAAGCTACCAACTGTTGGCCTAGAATCATCAGCACCACAAGAAACATGGGGCCCAAAAGCAAAGCCTCCTGACGTCTTTGGTTTATTTCAACTCCACCCTTCTCCATCATGATTCCTTACTCTCTTCCAGCCCCTGCAGGCCAGGACAAGACTGCCTTCATGCACACACTGCATGCACCAACAGTTTTAGATGGTGTCAGGCGAGCGCAGGCTGGGGGGCATGGTCTCTGCCTTCAGGAAGAGGAGATGCTCGACTCCCGGCTGTCTCTCTTCCACGGCCCATGCTCTCTCTACACCCTCAGCCTTTAGCCAGTCAAGACCAGAGTCACAAGATCAGTTTCCATAGGCACTTCCAACAAAAATTGACAGCACTGTCATAGGGGATCCAGCAGGTCACAATAAAAATTGTTGACATTTTCTCAAACATGATGGGCTGTCTCGAAACTTTTGTGGCTGCTGTTCCATCTGGCTCAACCCTCTTCCTCCCCTGGTTCTCCGTGCAGCTCACTCTTCACCTCCTCCGGTCTTTCCCGGGGGGCCATCTTCTCAGTGAGGCCTCCCGAACCCCCTAGTTTTTGACTCAGAACAGGATTTTTAAAAAACAGAATATTTTTAGGCAGGGTATGCACTGCACCCTCACTTTCCTGCTTCGTCTTTTTCTGTAGCATTTACCATGATGCTTACTATATAATCTGCCTCTCCCATGCCTCCACCAGGCTATAGGGGCCACAGGGCAGAGATTTGTCTGTTTTGTTCCATCACGCATCCCCTGTCCCTAATATGGCCTGGCTTAGAGTAGGTGTCCAAATAAATATTCATTGTGTACCCTAAACACTTGGATGTATGACTCCTCACGACAAACCTGTTAGGTAGGTACCGTGATGACGATGATGATACAGGTACTGATGCTGCCCATTTTACAGATGAAGCTGGAGTACAGAGAGGTCAAGCTGCACAGCTAGTAAGAGGGAGCTTCCTGAACTAGACCCATGAGGTCCGGCCTCACAGCGCCGTGGCAATCACTGCAGTGCTTCTCACACTCTCTGCACAATGTGGCAGAGGCCAGTGGGAACCGCGACAACTGGAAAACGCATACCCTGCCTAAAAATATTCTGTTTTTTAAAAATCCTGTTCTGAATCAAGAAAAAAAAAATCGACTTGCCTTATTTAGCCCTCAGGCCACAAGACAGATGGGGATTAACTGAAAGTAGGCATTCTAGGCAAAAATAGGATTTTACTGGGCTGGGAAGGAAGAGAGATTTAAAGAAAGATCACCCAGCCAACCTCAGGTGTTGAGGAACCCATAGGTGTTTTTTGCTTGACTATTTTCCCTTTGTGGCAAGAAGGTCCATGCTAAGGAAGGGTCCCAGGAGAGCCATTTGAACAGTAATCCTGTGGGACCCTCTCGATCTTTTAGCAACAGAAGCAGTTAGAAGAACATGAAAGAATCCTCCTGAAGAGTTGATTGCAAGGGCCATCCAAATGACAGGCAGGCAGTGGATTGCCACAGGTTGATCTGGGACAGCAGCAGTTTCAGAGAAGGACCCAGCCACAGAGCCATGGACATGTACATTGTCCTGGCATCTTCCATGGCGTTAAGGGATCTCACCGTGTGTCCTCCTAGACCGCCCAGAAATGATCCATTTCTTTGGTGGTTGGGCAGTTTATGATTAAGACGCTACGACATCCCAGCTTGCTCCAGCCCCAGCCATCTCACACCAATTGTCAGTTCAGGAATTACTGTGTTAGCCAAAGCCTCCAGAAATGTCTTCAAACAAGGTGACTCTGAAGCCACAAATGTTCGGTGAAAGCCACAGGCTACATTAATATCACAGCCCACACTGTAGGAAAGATGAAAGAGAACCATCTCTCTTTTGTGAGCAGCTGCAGCCAAATAATGACTGGCCCAGTCTCTCCATGCAGCTGAAAATGGTTAGATGCTATCCATTCCCTCATCAGCCACTCCGTAACCGTGGGCTGAGCACCTCGCGTGTGCCAGCGCTTGCTGTGGAGTGGCACAAACAAGCATGAGGCAGGGATGTCCCCACACAGGGAGATCAGCACTGCGTCAGATGTGCAGCTGGAAGCTGTGAGAATGCAGGGGAGGCAGCCGCACCCTCTCTGAGGTATGCTGTTTACTGGGGTGAGAAAGAAGCAAATCAGAGCCAAGCTGGGTAGGGTTGTGTGAAGGAAGGGAGTCCCCGAGGGGGTGGCAGGTGGACAGGTTGGAGCA